CCTGCGATTGGAGGGTGATGGGGGTCAACGCCTGAGGGCTCCCAGTATGTGAGAGGGGGCAGGCTGGGCTGAGGGACACTCCCCCCGCCCCCACCCAGTGCATGAATTTCGTGCACCGGGCCCCTAGTTTATTATAATTATGAAAGTCTGATGTTGTATATAATTTAGGAAATGTATAAAGTTATATGTAAAATTATGCATTTATATAATTTCTTCATTTGGTAAATAGATTAAATTTAAAAAAAATTGTTGTCTGCCATTTTCACTAAAGGCAATGTTCTAGGTTCTATGAAAAATGAAAAATAAATAAGGCTTGTTTCTTTCCTTCAAAGAGCTTTTTTATAATGAAAAATTTAAGGCTTCAGGTATCTAATAGAAGTATATCATAGTTAGCAGAGTTGGAGCGAAAAGTGGATTCTAATACAAAATATGAGAAAATCTTCATAAATGATATGGTTTTTGGAGTGACCTTGAAGCATGTTTGTAGAGGATTTTGATGGAGAGACATAAGGACACATTAGGTCAATCGTTCAATATTGAATAGTCATGTGTTGTACAATTCAGAATTTTTATTTAGCGAATGGAAATTTGTATCCCCTGTGTTTGGAGCATAAAATGCATGAAAGAAGGGACTAGCAAGTTATGAGCTCAACTTGTGGGACCTGGAAAGCCACACAAAGGGGTATGGACTTCATTCTGTGGATGAGAGGATTCCATTCAAAAGTCTTGACCACAGATGTGTCATGGTGAAAGAAACTCTCTCCTCTCTTTTTCTTTTTTTCTTTCATAAGCAATACTTTCAAGTCTATCTTGGAATTGTGTTAGATTCTGGAAATAAGAAAATAAGATGGGGCATTTCTGTGACAAAACTCTGGTGAGAGAGTTTAATGGAGGTATGAAGGATAGCCTGGAGAGGGACGGGTTCGAGACAGAGATACGTTTGAAAATTATTCAAATAAAGGAAGCTACTCATGAGCCTAACTTATGACAGTGAGAATGGACATGAAGAAGTGAATTTCAATCATGTTTAGGAGACATATTTGGTAGAACTTTGCATCTATTTGTTATTGACCCTGAGAAGGAGGTAAAGAAACTTGTTTTGGTTTAGGAAACTGAAGATACTGTGATATAAGGGAAATAGGGAAAAGAAGAAAGTTTGGGGGATAGTTCAAGTTTGTTTTGTAATATACTCTGTCACGCTGATTGTGAGACATCCTGGCAAATTTTTCTAGCAGTATTGGAATTATAGGTACCATATGTTGATGTAAGTATGGGAATTATTTCATAGAGGTAATAATTGACCTGTAGGAGTGGATGAGATAGTCAAAGAGGAGAGTGAAAGATGTCAAGGACAGACTTGTGGGGAATGCCTCAATAAAGGGCAGGTGGAGGAAGAGGGGTCCTCAAAGAGTAAGAATATGAGCAATTGGAGAAGAAATGAAGATAATCAAGGGGGTTTGAATCATGGAAGTTGAGTGAGAATATCAAAGACAAGGGACTAGTTATGGAGTCCAAAGTTGAAATGAAGTAAAAAGGATGAGGAATGAGAGAAATCATTTGGATTCAGAGATTAGGACCTCATTTGTGACCTTGAGGGTGTTGTTTGACACAACTTCTTTGGGATATGTAATAGAAACTCTCGGGATTAATAAAATAATTGATGAATGTCATTTGAGGCCCAGCTTGAGTTAGAGAGAATTTGTATGTAGTATAGCTAATTTATGTGGTGTGGATTTACGGTTGACAGCAAAGGAATGAGCATGAAGAAAATAAAAGATTGTTAGAAATTTTATCTATGAATCTTCTATATTTTCTTCCTATAGACATTGTTTGATGAAGGCTGGCATCAAATTCGTCTCTTAGTAACAGAACAGGATGTAACTCTATATATCGATGATCAACAAATTGAAAATAAATCCTTACATCCAGTTTTAGGGATCTTCATCAGTGGCCAAACCCAAATTGGAAAATACTCTGGGAAAGAAGAAACTGTTCAGGTGGATAAGTAATTACTTGCTTTTTGCATTTACTTTTTCTGTCCTTTCTGATAGTATTTATCACATTTAACTTAATTGTGAATTTCTTTAAGATACTTACAAAATGTGGTCAGTTCGTCAGGGAAATTGTGTGTTTCTGTATAAGTATGAAAATGCAAAATTAGACTTAATCTATTTAATAAGAATACTTAGAAAAATGTTCCCCTGGGTTCAGGGTAGAATTCTCATTCTCACGAAACATTAATTTCATATACACTATCCCAGGAGAGGCATAGATTAAATAATGAATTTGGAAAAGGCAATGTGAGTAGAGTTGTAAGTAGCGTTATAAACATTTCTTTACAGCTGTGAAGATAAAATTAAATTAATGCATGTCAGGGTTCTTCATGAACAAAACTAACTTTTTCAATATCTCTTTAAAGTGGACTATCTATGTGTGGGTTGAGAAGTGCACATGTAAAAGTCATTTCTTGTAAAATCCTCTATTTGAAAAGTAAGGCTTTCCCCCTCTTTTTATTAAGGGAAGGCTGTCACATTTAAATGTGTGATTGCACGCGTGGTCTCTATATATTAATGTTACATGTCAATTTATAGTAAGTATTTGAATAGTAACAGGTGCTAGGCCTACTCATCACACAACATTCCATGCCAGCAACTAAATCTCTGAGACTAAAGATGGCTTTTGAGCCACCCTTTTTAAGTGTCCTAGAAAGTTCTTTCTAGGCTAGCTTTGAATACAGGGGTACTAAAAAGCTCCACTGGGTTCCTGAAGGAAATCAGAAATTTATTTTCGGTGCTAGAGAAGTTTACATCACATCTTTAATACTATAAGCTAAGTATTTAAATTTCATATTTTCATTGTTTTAGCTGAATGCTGTGATTTAAACTTTCCATGATCGCTAACTATATTGGCTGTTTCTGTGTCTCTGAGTTGTTCTTATACAACAATCAACTTGGGCCTCAACTTTTACTTGACTGGGTTTATGTTCCTAGTTTGATGTCCAAAAGTTGCGAATCTACTGTGACCCAGAACAGAACAACCGGGAGACAGCATGCGAGATTCCCGGATTTGTAAGTAGGATGGATTATTTTTTCCAAGTGTTGCTCTAGTACTTTCAAAGCCACAAATAAGAAGCAGATAATATGTGAGTTTTAACTGTATGTATAGAGTTATTTTTTTCAATTGTCAAATAAAGTTATATCGATTAAAACATATTTTGAAGCTCATAATTGAAATAAAATTTTAATGTTTCACTGTGTAAGTATGAATGAAAGACCACAAGCAACTGTTTTTCCCACATCATGTCTGGTTGTGACTATCCTAATATTCATGAGAAGCATGACTAGACTTGCTCTAGAAAATTATAAGATATTTTGTCTGAATATCTTGTGTGAAATACATTTCTGTTCTTAATTAAGTTTATAATTAGTATATTACGCATTCTGGAGCAGGAAATGATTCATTTTCCTGTTCACCAGCACATTTTTTCAAACAATAGTTTTATTTTTATTGTTACCTAAGATTTTCTTATATTTCTAGGATATATTTATTTGGCTGTTTTCATTGATGTGTTAAGAAAGAAAGGATTATAAACTAAAATGTTACAAAGTCTGATTGTATACACAAATCTGATTATATTATATTATTATATACTGATTATATATATAATGAGTCTCTTTTCCTCTAGGCAATAAATGGTATGCAGTACTGCTGCTATTGCAAATCATGTAGAATGTTGTAAAACTTTTTGACAATGTGGATTCCCAGTGATATTTGAGCCCTATTTAAGCTTTTTTAGTTTATATAGTTATGCTGTCATAGTCTCCTTTTTCCTTATTAAACTGAGTAACTTATGAATCCACACATTCTAAAGTCTTGAGGACATTGAGCATCATAATTAATGGATCTACAATAAACTCCAAGATGGAACCTTTGACAAATGATTCATTATGGGTATTCTAGATAGGTAATTGCTTAAGCAATATACCTTTTAGATACTTATAATTTGGAATATAAATCTTTACTAAACCTATTAATGTTATTGCATTTTGAGAGTCCATTGTACATACTTTATTTATTGATATTTCTGCATCATTGTAATAACCGTTACCATTTCCCTTCCGTATAATAAAGGCATAACATTACATGGCAGATTTCTCACATTCAGTTTTTTTTGTAGGTGCTTATATGTCTCCTTCCTTCCTCTTAGCTGTGACTTGGTGTAGCTTGTTTGCTTTCTATACCTTTATTCCCACCTTCTCATTTTCTGATATAATGTGGTATTGTTTGGGAAGATTATTAACCTGTCTTAAATTGTGACTTAGTAAGAAATAGACTGTTTAGGGAGAAGCGTCCCTGGAGTGCATGACATTTAATTCATGCTCTTTAGGACTTGGTTAGATATGTTTTGGCTTTTTTCTCTGGTTCTTAAAGGATTTCCAGTAAGTTCAAGAGAGCATGTACATTCCACATTGATGTATTTTTGTTTCTGCATGGTCATTATATTAAGCAGCTTTGGCATTTTAATTTTCTCCTACTCTTTATTGTTGTTCATTTTCTTTGTTTATCCTACTGTGAATGTAATAATAACATGTAGACATAAGTAATTTTTTAGGGTAATTGCAAATATATTTTTAGAGGTTGGTTTTGATACTTAAATCATCTATAACCTGGACAATGAAATATCTGAAAATTAGAAGATGATATAGAAATTTAATTAAAAACATATTTTCAAACATATTTGTTATTGTTTTTCTTTCAGAATGGCGAGGTAGGTTTTCCTTAAGGTAATATTTGCACTGTGGGACTGTTTAGCTTCCTTTCATCAACTGTAAGTATTTTAGATAAATTACACTCACTTTTTTAATGTAGTTTGAGTATATTTAGTATTCATACCTTTTTGTGATTGGGAATTTCTTATTAGGTCAGGATAAATAAAATATACAGATACATATGTACATATACATATATATGCATCTTTCCATGTTTATTTCCATTTTTGTCTTCGTAGTGTCTCAATGGCCCCAGTGATGTAGGTTCAACTTCAGCTCCCTGTGTTTGTCCTCCTGGAAAACCAGGACTACAAGGCCCCAAAGTGAGTAATACCGAAAATGCTTTTTTGTTGTTGTTAAAATATACAAACAAGAGCTTCCAAATTTGGAGTTTCCACAAAATTCCAAATCACCATGGACCCTGTTATGAAATTTTCACCTAATGCTTTAGAACATGTTAAAACCTGAGTGTTAGTGACCCTTTAAAAAGCATATTCTCGTCCATATTTGTCTTTGAACCTAAAACTGATACTGCTAGCCCACAGTAGAGTGAGGGCGCAATATTAGTTTGCTTATTTATCTGTTTGCTCCCTCTCCATTCCCCTCCCTCAACACTGCTGCTAGATCCCAGAATGATTCTTAAATCTTGGTAAAAAATTAAGGAAGGGCCTTTAAGATATACTCTAAATTCTTAAATGTCTAAGATCTTAATTTGTCAAAATGATTTTCAGATAGAAAAATGGAGAAGAAATTGAAAATTAATTTTAATGTGTTAGATGTCTAATTCTAAGAAATGGAGGCATATGCATTTATTTCACTTACTCATGTAATAATTACATTGGAAAGTATGTTTGGAGCCGTGATGTACATACTATTTTATAACCAGTTTATTTTTTACATAACAAAGTACTTTGATATGTTCCCATGTTATTAAATATGAATGACTAAGTTTTTAAGTAAGTTGATACTTACTATGGCATCAGAGACACACCCTAAGATACTGAGAAGTGGTCTGTTCACTATAATGTTTTTAATATTATTTTAAAAATTACCTAATACAAATAATGTCTAACTTGAAAGCAAGTATGACTCTCTAGGGAAAAAGTGTTTTCTGTATTGATCGTCTATTACTTTGGTGACCATAAATTTTTTTCTTAAATATGAATTATAATTTATATTTAGATGGAATTTTCTCTTTTTGAAAATATATTTTTATTGATTTTAGAGAGGAAAGGAAAGAGAGCTAGAAACATCAGTGATGAGAGGGAATCATTGATTGGCTGCCTCATACACACCCCCTCCTGGGGATCGAGCTCTCAACCCAGGCATGTGCCCTTGACCTGAATCAAACCCAGACCCTTCACTCTGACAGCCAATGCTCTATCCACTGAGCCAAATGACCTGGGCTAGATGGAATTTTCTTAGTATTTCAATCACCATGACTAAAAAAATCTTAGCTTCTGGACTGCTAAGATAATTTAATTCTTCCTATCTTTTATACATATTTCTCCCATTCATTTTCATATAATAGTTCATGAAATACTTCAAGCCTAGCTGTTAAAATCAATAAAGAAATTAAACTTAAGAGATAAAAGTTTACATTCAATATTTCATTTAAAGTGAATCTATTTGGTTTGGAATTTGACTTCAGTATATTATAATTAATTTGCTATTGTAAACTATTTTCAGATTGCTTTTCAGAAAGTTAACCAAAGAATTCTTTAGTTAAACTAACTCCGTTATTTAGGATGCCTTGACATTAATGAGAAATACCTATAAATGTTCCAAGGAGAATATAAGACAGCTTGCTGTGACCTATGAGCAGACTTCTTTTTAAAATGTATTTACAATACTGAAACGTTATACATAAAAATGATTTCATCTGCAAGAAATACAATATGGAAACCAGAGTTCCATGTTGCCTATTCTGTAGAAGCCCAGAGCACTCTCCTCACTCTTAATGATTCTGGTCTCCCCACGGTCTCTAAGGGCTGTCCACTTTTGAGGAGGAATCAGATGCTTTTGATGTTTTCTGATTCTTCATTAGTGGTTCATTAGGGATCTTGTGGTGTCACTGTTTATTTTTCACATATGTTTCTACAACAAAGTTTTAGAGCACTCTTTGTCTTATCTGATATCCAATATTTCTAAGTTTCACGTGTTCCTCATTTTCATTCTCTTTTCTTAGTCATAATGTAACCCCATTGCCACCTATTACTTTAAGTGAAATTGCAGTTTTCCACCAATCTTCAAGTTGGCGTGCCTTCTTGATCTGCTTCCCATTTTCTTCAGAAAATCTGGCTGGAAGAGAGGAACACACACACACACACACACTCCTCCATCCTTTTAAGGCTCTTTCCTCTGGAAGTGGTTCCTTAGCCACATCAGGGACCTGTATGTGGAAAACAGAATCCCTAGCAACACTCTGAGTTTCATGCACTTCTTGTAGAGAATTTGTGTCTTGGAAAATTGATAGGGTTTTATTTAGGTCAACAAAACTGGAATTAATTGAGATGAAGCAATTTTACTATAGATCAAATTGAGACTTTTTGGCTGTCTTTGTTTGATGCTCTCTGGAAAGCTTTGCAGATGTCTATCAATCAGAGTTACCTATGAAAAATAGATCTAGTCATTCGATTAGCCAGAAATAGAGTTCTAGGAATCCTGTGAGTAAAACAGAGGAGAAAGTCTTCTATGGCTATGTGGGTAAGTGCTTATTCTAAGATAATGTCATCTGTTATAAATTCTTGAACTTTCCAAAATATATGACAACCCTATTTAAAAAACAGGTCAAATGAACTATGAACTATAATACCACACACTTATCATGACATTATAACTCTTAATAAGCAAAGAAAAATATATCTTTTACTGGACTGTGAATGCCTTGAACATAGCTTGCTTATTTTGTATCCTTAGTGTCAAACCTAGGAAGTGAGTAAATTAATAAATGAATCTATTGGAGTAATTTTTATATGCAAGTACTTCACAATGAAGGCAAATACAAACTAAACTCTCCTTTGGAATTCTACTGTCTAACCCAGTGTTTAATAGTAATACATTTTTAATTTAATGAATTATGAAATCATTGAAAAAAGAAGATATACCCCTACTCCTTATTAACTTATCTGGAATGCCTTTGTTCTATATGAAAAGTCCAGCAATCTCCAGTTGACAAAGAACTCCCTTTTGAAAGACCTTAACATGCAGATGGCAGCTTCTTCCATCACTTTCAGTAGACACAGGAACATTTGTGGGGACACACTTTACACTTGATCTAACCTTGAATGTTAGATATATTAGTTCAAAAGTGAAAAGAAAGCTTTTTTTTGCTTTTTTTTTTTAGAAAGGAACAATTTCTTAATAAATTCTTTGCTCTGAAATGCCACTCTCTCTCCAGCTGTGTTCCTTCTGATGCCCTTTGTTTCACCCTCATAATTCTACATCAAAGAGATTCATTTGGATTTTCAAAGTATCCTCTGTCTGAATACAAAAAGGCTTTGGAAAATTTCAGGGGCCACTAGGCATTTACATTTTTATGTTAATTTCCCCAGGCTCAGTAGATTCCTCCTTGCCTAAGAGAGTGGGTGTTTGAGTTTTGTTTTTGCGAAGAGGCTGGTTTTGGAGAATGGAATAGGTCTTAGGTCAGATAGTCCTGTGGAGACCAAGACTAGAAGGAAGGCACAAAGAGTTTGAGAAAAGGGCATGATAACATGGGATTTGGTCCTACATGAAGAGCTCCGAAGACATTTGTTTTAGATGAGTAACTTAAACTATTAGCTTGCTTTTGCAAGCACAGCTATTTTTCATTTTAATTATTCATAATTACACTGCTTGAGAGGCCACGTTCAGAGATGGTTTAGCTCAATCCATGACATTTCCACTCCTGTCGACAACTCCGAAATCCTGTGGCACAAATTCAATTCAACATAAGTAAGTTTTGCTTTTCAGTTGGATACATATTTTTAAAAATTCAAAGAATGCAAATGCTTCAACTAAATTAGGAGAAAGTGATTGAGAATTTACTCACAATTGTAGGATAAGTCATACGTCTAATTTAATGCATTTGGAAATCTTTTTCCATGTTCCATTTGCTAGCAGTCCCCAGGTCTGGTTCTGATTAGTTTTTGAATTTTAATGTAGTCAGGGTGAGTAGTGTGTAGACACAGGGACTATGGAGCAGAATTGGATGATTTCAAATTCCATCCCCACTACTGCTCTGTGACCTTGAGTGAGTTACCTAACCTTCTCAGGCCTCAGTTTTCCTGCATATAAAATGGGAATAATAACATTACTTGCTTTGTGGTATTCTAATGAGAAGTCATTTAATGTATGTAAATTTTTAAGAGCAGTCCCTAGCACACAGTCAACAACCAATAAAGATTGGGTGTCAGCTTTTACTACAGTAATAAAATGGAATTTTTATTCTAGTTGGCCTTCTCTCCAAAATTAGTTAGGATTTTATTTTATTCTTTCAATTTTATGGAAACAACACCAAACCTACCTGAGATTTTGCAAATAAATCAGTAGGGTAGTGGTCAAAATAACGATTAAAATCTATCAGTAGTAATAAAACCTGCAAAAGAGATTACTTTTCGTTTGTGGAGCTATTGTCCAGTGTTATGGTCCTTATGAAGTCACATTGGGTTTATCTTGTGGGTGATTTTTTTCCCCTTGGAAACTTGGTTTTGACTCATTTAAAATGTTATTGTTAAGTGTGTTTTGTACTTCTGTGTAGCATAGAAACAAATTCTGTTTCTTTTTGTGCCAAAGTTTTATTTCAAGCTCATCATAGTAGAGGTTAAACCTTCTCAGAGACTTTCTATGTCCTAGATTTTGTGGATAATTAATATTCTGCAAGTAAAGAGGTCATTCACAGGAGATTTATTTTGAAATCAATCAATCAGCAAGTAGTTATTGAATCTCTACTTGATTTACAGCATTGAAAAAAAAAAAGCAGAAAATATGGACTGTGTTTCAAGGAATATAAATCCAAATGATAAGTGAAGAAGACTAATCAAGAAAAAATTGAGAAAACTCCAGTTATGAAGAAGTGATCAGTGAGACAGGGGCTGCTTTAGCATTTCAATAGAAAAAGACATCAGGAGGAAATGGAGTTACAAGGAAGCTGTAGCGATAGCACGATAGCACGTTTTGGCATAATGACTCTTCCATAGAAAGGGAAGAAAATCTTCTTCCCGGGAGAAAAGAACAATGGAATTTATTGAAAGGCAGTGAGTCCAAGATGAACATGGATAGAGGAGGATGGCAGGGAGGCTAGAGATTAATGGGGATCCCCTGAAAATAAGGAGAGAAACATTCTAGCACTCTAGAGAAACAGAATGTTGCTTCTTAGTTAACACTGGAATCCTTGGATCTGAATTTCAAATTATGCCTTCTTAGCAAGACATTAAATGTTTCAGCATTATGTTTCTCTCTAGATTTACAGTGATTCTCTCTTTAAAAAAAATGACATTTTCCTTTTTTCAGCCTTTTCTTATACTGAGCCTCTTGGGTGACTCCTAAGTGAAGAGCCCATCCCTTCTTCATTGGCTCCTTTATTGAGTTCACACAGTTCTTTCCATTTTTCCTGTTTAGTTTCAGGAACAAATGTCCCTAGCCAGTAGCCTGAAGTAGTATTTCCAACCAGCAAAGCTGGCTCTGTGGAAGTAACCTTAGTTAATGTATATTCACTGGGGTTCTGTGTGAATGATTTCTTGCTGAAAATAGTGAAGAATTATTGAGTTGAAAATCAGTTGTCTCTGTGCAGGAATTTATTGATACTGATGGCCAAGACTTTGTGTTTTTTTGGCAAGATGTCCCATGTGGACCTCATGAACTCAGTAATAGATGAAGATGATATTACTAGAGGTCCAGTGCACAAATTTGTGCATGGGTAGGGTCCTTAGGCCTGGCCAGTGATCAGGGCTGATGGGGGTAGGGGAGCATAGAAGTTTGGCCTGCCTCAGGAGGTTGGCTGTGGGAGTGCACTGACCACCAGGGGGCAGCTCCTGCATTGAACTTCTACCCCCTGATGGTCAGTGTGCATAATAGCAACCAGCTGACCGGTCATTCGGTCGTTCGGTCATTCAGTCGCTTAGGCATATATATATATACTAGAGGCCTGATGCATGAAAATTCCTGCAAGAGTAGGCCTTCCTTCCCCCGGCTGCCGGCACTGGCTTCCCTCTGGCACCTGGGACCTGGGCTGCCTTACCAGCTTCCCTCGGACTGCCCGCAGGCACACGAGACCTGGGCTGGCTTCCTTTCGGCCGCCTGCAGGCACTCAGGACCCGGGCTGGCCCAGCTTCATCAGGAAAGATGTCCGGAATGATGTCAGGAAGACACCCAGTCTAAATAGCATATTACCCTTTTATTATTATAGACAGATTTGTGAAGTATTTCTTAGAGTTAAATTATAAAACAAACTCACCTCAAAAAAAATGTTGCTTTCCTTGTTTTGTTTTAAGGGTGGTGATCCTCTTAATGGTCAGTACTGGCCATTGTACAGCAGTCTAGAGTTCCATAGAATGTGCCTGGGCTCATTGCCATGTTGTACAGAATAATGTTCTTTGAAGATCTCTGGTTTATGAGAGCAAAGGTCATTTCTTCATTTCTTAGGTATTACATGTACTAAAAGACTAAAGGGTTGTTTGGCTTGGACCTCACTCTCATAAAAGTATTCAAGTTTTAGAATTTTAGCAGGTTCAATGACATTCTAAATATAGGCAAAGAGGCACATTGACTGGATTTAAAGAAATGACTGTTGTGCAGCTTTAAATGTGAGTCCCATGTGTAAGATCACATGGCTTTTAACTGTTTTTTCTTTCTTTTTTTTTTTAAATATATTTTATTGATTTTTTACAGAGAGGAAGGGAGAGAGATAGAGAGTTAGAAACATCGATGAGAGAGAAACATCGACCAGCTGCCTCCTGCACATCTCCCACTGGGGATGAGCCCGCAACCCAGGTACATGCCCTTGACCGGAATCGAACCCGGGACCTTTCAGTCCATAGGCCGACGCTCTATCCACTGAGCCAAACCGGTTTCGGCTTAACTGTTTTTTCTTAATAAATAATTATGAATTGACTTATTACATCACAGGTCAGTGATATCTGTAGTATAACATATAGAATAGAATTAAGTCTGTAGACAATGAGTGAAATATTACTCTCATTGAAACTGTATTTGCTATGATACTTAATCATTTTTTTAGAATTCTAAAAGTGTACCCTGTTTTAAATATTAACATTTTACATCAGGGAAATGTTATTATACCTGGTAGTCGCACACAAATAAACCATTGTAAGTTTTACATACTAAAAAGCCTTTATTCGTTAAGCTAGGCATTTAGAATATGGTATCATTTTTTCTAATCCCCATTTTAGGAATTCTGTTTGTTTGTTTTTAACATAACAAATAGCTTCCTTTAATGGAATTGGCTCTGAACCTTGATGGGCTCTGACTGCACCGATATAGTTGTTGTTTTGTATTGAGAAGTTTTTCTTCCTCTCTAGGGTGACCCTGGACAGCCTGGGAACCCTGGCTACCCTGGACAGCCTGGTCAAGATGGTAAGCCTGTGAGTACTGAAAGCTTAGTCATCTCCAGTCCTGGGATTATAGTGTCAAAGATAAAATTTCACCTGGCAAAGTGAAACAGGCAAGGGAGACTCTATCTAAGACTACTGGAATAGGGGAGAGAGATTGAACAACTCCACTTAGCTCAAACAAAAGGAGGGTGGATTTTTGAGTGCTGGGGTGAACTAGTGGAAAAGTCCTGGAGGACTTTGGGGGGTGGGCGAGGAGGTTGATCAGGGGGATGGAGCAACTTGAGTTATCCTGAGTTTGGCAGACATTTTCCTCCGTAGGTAAGTAAGCCATCGGCCATCTGTGTTTGCTAAGTGGCATCCATGGAAGTTAGGGTACTGCCCTCCCACAGAGACTGATAGATGCAGACACTTACCTTTTTTGAAGACTACATTGCAAAGGGCTGGTCCTTGAGAAGGATCTTCCTTACTAGTTGTAAAGCTAGTTAAGAAGGTTTTTAAAAAGATTTACAACTCAAAGGGGCGCTAAAGAATTTACAATTTCGAATTTTCGAAAGTAAATCTTCTCCGGAAAGGCAGGCCTCGGGTCAAGAAGAAGCCAGTCTGAAGTTTGGTCAAGCTGAGGGGAGCATCCAGGCTGGCTTGGTCAATAGAATTAGCATTCTAGTGGTTTTTTAGGTATTATACTTCACAATTGCATACGTCTCTGCAACATTTAAAAACGTGTTCAGTGAATTCTTAGTATCAATATTTAGTTATTTTCAGAAATCCTTTTATATTTTCCCTTCACATCTATGGAAATTCCCAAGGGTTGACCAAATAGAGATAAATTGTGTCAAGCTCAGAATTTTCAAAAAGACATGTTTATTTGGGAATAGTAGAGGAATTGTAATTCAGGACACACAAACTGTACCAAGTCTCTTGAGGGTTTGATATTTGTGGAGAAGGAATGTAAAGAGGGAAGAGTTCAGTTAAAATCATGAACAAATGGAGATTAGTGTTGAAAATTCCTTAAGCAGGCAAAAACCAGTCTTCATACATGCAAAGCTCAATCCAGACAGGTTTTGTTCATGCCTCTGGGAACCATGAGCAAAACTTTCCAAGGTTGATATGAGGCAACCCCTGATCAAGTTTTTATCAATTAAGAAAGTTCTAACATTCTCAGTTTTCTGTAAATTAGGCATTTATGGGAAATCAGTTTCTCATTTCTTTAAGTTTTATTTTTCTGCACATGCATGAGATTTTCCATTTTATATCTTCCAGTTTCATTTTAGATTGAAATACTCTCATACTAATTAAAACTCTTTCCTTTAAATCCTTATTGTTGAAATGATTACATATGTCCTATTTCTTCCCCCATTGACCCCTGCCCCATGCCCCAGGCCTTCATCACCCAATTATCTGTGTCCATGGGTTATGAATATGTGCATACAAGGTATTTGGTTGATCTATTTCCACCCACCCTCCCCCCACCTTCCCTCTGAGATCCAATAATCTGGTCCATGCTTCTGTCCTTGGATCTATTTCGTTCATCAGTTTATTTTATTCATTAAAATTCTTTTTAAGGTTATATTATTTTCCTAAGAATGAATGCACTTCTGTACACTTATAATTTGCCAAAAAAAAAATCCTCTAAGGTTCAAGAGAACTTAAGGGGCATTTATGAGTTAAAGAAACATAAAGCAGGTCCACTTTAGAGCATTTTTGGCAAATATTTACAGGTAAGTTACTATCAGAATGTTTATACCAATAAACAAACATAAGGGATTAGCTTTTGGATGTTAAATAGTTGCCACCAAAAAAGTATCTCCTTAGAATTTTTTTTATCATGAGACATTAACTGTTGCCATGAAGAATGGGAAAATGTCTAATATGAGCCAATAATGTTTGAGCAGTTAAAGCACTGTAGGCTTAATGTTAAACATCAGTACCCCACTGGGATGAAAGAGGATCTTGTCATGTATGTCCCTGGGAGGTGCTGACAAATTTAATACAAAAAAAATACAGCCAATTTTTGAAGAGTAATGATGTTCTGGGGCTATTGACACCAGTGTTGCATGGGAGAGGGGTTGATTATGCAGGTGAGTCTCGAGAGAGAGAAATGGTCAAAGAAGGGATTCTGAAGAGGTAACAAAATGGTAGCCAACTGGAGCTGCAGGGAGCTGAGGAGCTGGGTGATTAAGGCTGAGGAGCTGGGTGATTGGGGCTGAGAAGCTGGGTGATTGGGGCTGAGGAGCTGGGTAATGGGGCAGTGAGGCTCAACTAACCCACCGGGGTTCATTCTAAATACGCTGGTGGCAATCTCTTTGGGGATTTTGAGAAGGAAAGTGAGTTGATCTGACTTTTTAGAAAGAGCAGTATACAGGATGGCACAAAAGTAGGCTTACAGTTGTGAGTATGTGAAACAGTTTATTCTTGTATTATTAGTTATTCATTATTGAATTATATACCATATGAACAATTGTAAACCTACTTTGCCACACCCTGTTAATATGGGGCAAGAGTGGAAGCAGGAGACCAGATAGGAGGTTATTTCAGTACCCTGAGACGTAAGAGTGGCCTGGACTAGAGTGATGTGGTGGTGGGGAAGAGAAGTGGTCAGATTCTAGATTGTTTTTTAATGTAAAACTGATGATTATTTCTGTTAAATTACATGGAAAGCATGAGAAAAAGAGTCAAGGAAGACAGCGGATTAGAGCTTGAGCAACTGGGTGAATTATGGTGCCATTTACTGAGCTGAGCAATACTTGGGAGATGTAAGTTTTGCAGAGGAAATAGAAATTGCATTTTTGGACATGCTGAAGTTGTCTCCTAGGATATTAGATATAGGAATCTTGATTTCATGGATATGTTTGAGAATGAAAATACACAGTTGGGAAACTTTAGCATGTGGATATATCTAAAGCCACCAGAGTGGATGAGATTATTAAGGGAATAAGTACAAATAACTGGAGAAGAGAAGGTGGCAGTGGACTGAGCTTAAGACTCTCTTACAGAGAAAAAAAGGAGAGGATACAGCTAAGGGAATTGGGAAAGAATGACCAGTGAAGTAGGAGGAATACCAGGAGAGTGTGACATTCCAGGAGCCAAGTTTCAAGAAGCGGGTGATCAGTTGTGTCATTGTTATCAAGAGATTGAGAAAAATGAGCTCTATGCCCAGATGGATTTGCTGTGTGGAGGTAATTAAGGACCCTGATAAATGGAGTTTCAGGGAGGAGGAGTACAAAAGCTAGATTGAAATGGGTTCAAGAGGGAATAGGAAATAAAATGGTGACAGTGACTATAGATGCTTCTTCTGAGGTCTATAACGAGGAACAGAGAAATGGAATAATAGCATGGGGAGTCTGTGGGATAAAAGGAAGGTTTGCGTGGTTTTCTTTTTAATCCTCCTCACTCAAGGATATTTTTCATTGATTTTTAGAAAAAGTAGAAGGGAGGGAGGAGGAGGGCAGGGAGGGGGGGAGAGAGAGAGAGAGAGAGAGAGAGAGAGAGAGAGAGATTGATTGCCTCCCACACATGGCCCCACCCCCACTGGCGTTCCAGCCTGCAACCAAGGTATGTACCCTTGACTGGGACTTGAACCCAAAACCCTTTGGTCTGTGGGCTGATGCTGTAACCACTAAGCAAATCAGCTAGGGCCAAAATAAGGTTTTTAAAAAGATGGGAGATGTTTCATGATGAAAAAAATGAAGCAGAAGGAAAAAAAATGATGATTTGGGATATTTGAGATCTTTGCAGAAAGAAAATTCTTTCGGTACGGTAGGTTGGAAAGCATTGGTTCCAGTTCATCCTGGATAAAAACATGAGTAGTTAAACCTTCATATTGGGTAGAGAACCAAGCCAGTAAGTACAGAAATAGCGAGGTGGCGTAGTTCAGAAAATAGGGTGACAATTATCAGACTCCTTTATTTTGATAGAATGAAATGAGTAGATTCCAAACCCAACATGTCCCTTTTACCTTTATCCTTAACTCCTCTCATCTCCAGCATTAGCCTTGCAGTGTCTCTTACAATTCTTCCCTTTCTCACTTTAACTTAGAGTCACGTGAATTTGTTGCATTCCCTCACTGCAACTCCTAATCCCACCCAAGATACTGCCTGAGGTCCTGTGTAGGTTCTGATCTAATCACAATGGATGAGATGAGTTTTCTAAATATGAGCCTTCCTTTGCCTAGAGACCCCTTCCCTGGGATGTACACTTTCTGTTCCTGGCAGCTGCATGCTGTGCCAACCCCAAAGCCGATACACTTCACAGGCTGAGGTGTCATCTGCTGGCATCTCTCAACAACCCAACACTGCTAACTTATGTAGGCTTTTGTATTTCTCAGTGGTGGAAAGTCCTGGGCAGTATTTGGAAATGAGTGCTGAGCAGGCCTTTCACAGGCTATCAGTTCTAGTTTGCTTCATTTATTGTTTTCTTTATCAATATCTTGCCATGAATGAAAGCGCTGGAAATTTGTTGCAATCAGCCTGATACAATAATCATGGATATTGCTCTGAGTCTTAAGCTATCATAGACATATTGTCTCATTACCTTCAGTACATGTACATGTTTTCATGTATGTGTATGTGATTTTATGTATAGACCAGAGGCCAGATGCATGAAATTCATGCAAGAGTAGGCCTTCCTTCCCCCAGCTGCCGGCACCGGCTTCCCTCTGGCACCTGGGACCCAGGCTTCCCTCCAGCCCTGGCTTCGTCTGGAAGGATGTCTGGAATGATGTCCAGTCTAATTAGCATATTAAATTTTTATTATTATAGATATAGATGTAGCTATGTAGTATTTGGTATTAGATGTTAGGAAATATTAGACGTTAGATGTGGTTAGATGATATCTGATGCTAAAGAAAGGACTAACCAACTGTCACACAGAACTTAGAAGACAGAACCAAGAGAGACAGAACCTAGACACAGAACCTAGAGAAGAACCTAGAGACGGAACATGGCAAAAGATCCTGGACAGAAACTGGCAACAGAACCTAGAGACAAAACCTAGCGAGAGAACCTGGCTGAAGAACCTAGAGACAGAACCTG